TACTGTTGAGTTAACTAGGATGTATATATGTATCGGGTCTTTGTTTGTGATGTAGTAGATTAATTTGTTTGTGGGTCTTACCCACTATTATTTTACAAGTGTTCGTCAGTTCGAGACTTAGCGATTGTTCATGCTGAGCTGAGACAGTCTATTCACTCTTCCGATTCTATGTAGGATTTTTCTTTATGTTTTAGTTCTTAGATTTCTTTATATATTTCAATTGAGTTTTGTATTAGGGGTCCACATGATGGATTCCCGAGTTGTAATCTAGATGGTTACTGGTATCAGAGGACTTGGATTATTAGAGGATTAGTCTATTAGAATATTTTAATGGAAGATTCATTATTTAGTTTTCTTTTCAGTTTTATTCTTATTTTCCTTTTGTATTCTATGTTCATTTTAAATACTTTAAATATTTGATATTCGTTCGGGTTTAGGTTTGGGCCTAATTAACCCTTGTCTCGGAGTCAAGGGGTATCACAGTTGGTATCAGAGCACTCCAGGTTCAAGTGTCTCTATGTATTTATCGTTATTTGACTTCCACATAACGTATTCTTTTATTTAGAGCTTAAGTTTAGGATTCATTGTATTCCATATAATAGTTGGTATCAGCGCTAATCTTTCTATGTTAACAGAATGATTAGCGCTGTAAGAAGATGGGAGAAGCAACAAAAGAAGGCAAAGCGTAAGCATCAGAATCGTTTGCGACGTCGAGTTGTAGAGAGGCAACCGACACCTTTATTCCAAGAGGAGGATGATGATCAGTTGTACATCGAGCAGGAGGAAGTACAACAGACTCGGGAGTCTCAGGATGAGGTCTACACACAAGGCAGGAATCCAGAGTATCCTCCTCAGATAACTAACCTCATTACTCAAGTCATAGCAGCAGGTGTAGTAGTTGTACTTCAGAATCAGCCACAGGTTTAACAGGCACCTATGTCAGCACCAGGGGTTTAGACAAGTCCTTGGGAGAAGGCTAGGAGTTCTTTCACAAAAGGGAGGCCACCTGAGTTCTCAGGCTCCACCAACGTGAAAGTAGCTCATCATTGGAAGAAGGACCTCGAGCGTCATCTTCGCATGGTTGAGTGCACGGAGGTTCAGAAGTAGATGTTTGCTATCTTCAAGCTTGTTGGCGATGCATTCCAGTGGTAGGAGTCAGTTACTTCTGCAGTGGATAGGACTTCATTGATTTATGATCAGTTCAATGCTCGCTTTGATGAGAAGTACTGTCTATATGTGATCAGGATAGCTATGAAGAAGGAGTTCTTTAACCTACAGTAGGGGGACATGATAGTAGTAGAATACGAGTAGCAGTTTACACGCTTGTCTCTATTAGTTCCAGATAAGGTGGATACCGAGGAAAAGAAACAAACCAGTTTTGTTAATGGACTAATCTGGTCTATTAAGTAAGTTATTACAGGTAGTCCAGCTTACACTACTTATGCTCAGGTAATAGACACCGCTTTATAGCTTTATCAGCTGAGTGCGGATTTTAGACAGACTAGGGGTGCGAAGCGGGGTGAAAAAGACTCTGAGATTCAGTCAGTTGAGAAAGGAAATGGCAGTGGACACCAACAGAATGATAAGGGCAGACTCTAGGGACAACAACCTTGGAAGAAGCATAACGGTGGTTCTGATGCTTACAGAGATGGAGCACCTATTCAGAGGCAGTAGAATTGGGGACCACAAGCAGGATAGGGTCAGCCACAGGCTAACCAATAGATGAGATAGTTTAGCACTTTCAGGGGTAGTTGCTATACTTGTGGAGAGCCTGGACATTCGTCTAGGCAATATCCTAAAGCTCAACAGGGACATCAGGCGTAACAAGGACAGATGACACTTTTACCTTTACCTGCTCCACATCAGGGATAGACATTCCTAGCTTTACCAGCACCGCCACAGCCACAGGGACAGACATCGCAGCAGTTGCATTATGGCAGGGTGTATAACTACATGCCATAGGATATGCAGGCGCCTCAGGCTGTTGAGGGTATGTTTCTTATACATGGTAGATACGGTTGTGTTTTATTTGATTCGGGTGCTACACATTCATTCGTGTCTAGTTCATTTATTGCGTTAGTTGGGATGACGACGCGGTTATGTGATAGACCTTGTAGTATTGCTACACCTATAGGTGATACTACTATTTTATATGAGAGTGATGGGCCTGTGGCACTAGGTATCAGTAGACTTAGATTTCTAGCTAATCTATTGGTCTTGGACATGCATTCTTATGATGTGATACTTAGGATGGATTAATTATCTCACTACCATGCCCAAGTTAATTGTTATGATAGGTCTATTATATTCACTATACCTGGTCAGGATATGTACGTGGTCGCTATGCCACTTTCTAACAGGGTATCTAGCATATATGTGTTTTACGTTAAGGAATAGATGGGGGAGGATGTTACTGTATCACTGGATAGTATACCAGTTGTACAGGAATTTTTGGATGTTTTTAAAGAAATTCTAGGGTTGCCATCTAGTTAAGAGATAGACTTTGTGATTGACTTAGCTCTAGGCACTACGCCTATTGCTAGGGCACCATATAGGATGACACCAATAGAGATTCGAGGGCTAAGGGATCAGATTCAGTAGCTACTTAGTCAGGGTTTCATTCATAGGAGTACTTCATCTTAGGGAGTGCTAATGTTTTTTGTGAAGAAGAATGATGGATCACTTCACCTTACAGGGAGTTGAACAAAGTTACTATTCGTAATAAGTACCCCTTTACCCAGAATAAATGATCTTTTCAATCAATTGAAGAGAGCTGCTTATTTCTCTAAGATTGATTTGCGTTCTGGATATCATCAACTTCGGGTTAAGGAGCAAGATGTTCCTAGGACATCGTTTCTCACTAGATATGGTTTTTATGAGTTCCGTGTTATGCCTTTTGAATTGACTAACACATCGGCAATCTTCATGGATTTGATGAACAGAGTCTTCAAGCTTTACTTAGATTAGTTTGTCATCGTAGTTATTAATGATATTTATGGTTTATTCTAAGTCAGAGGACGATCATGCTAGACATCTTCGTACAGTGTTGCAGACGCTTCTTGAACAGTAGTTGTATGCCAAGTTTGAGAAATGTGAATTTTGGCAGCGAGAAGTGAAGTTTCTAGGTCACGTAGTGTCAGAGAAGGGGATAGTGGTTGATCCAGCCAAGGTCTCAACAATGGTGAGTGGGGACAACCTACTACACCTTCAGAGATTCGGAGTTTTTTGGGATTGGTAGGATACTATCGTAGATTTATTCAGTGGTTCTCGAAGATAGCAGGACCACTCACTCATCTGACTAAGAAGGGTGTACGGTTCATTTAGGATGAACACTATGAGAAATCTTTTGATGAGCTAAAGAGCAAGTTGACTTCTGCACTTATTCTGTCTACTCCATAGAGCGGAATATAGTATCTTGTCTATATAGATGCTTCTTTGCAAGGTCTTGGTTGTGTTTTGATGCAGGAGGAACGACCAGTTTCGTATAGATCTCGTAAGCTTAAACCTCATAAGCTGAATTATCCAAAGCACAATTTGGAGTTGGCAACTGTGGTCTTTCCCTTACGTATTTTGAGGCATTATCTGTAGGGAGAGTCTTTCAAATTATTTAGTGATCACAAGAGTCTACAGTATTTATTCACTCAGAGGGAGCTGAATATAAGACGTGCAGATGGTTGGAGTTTGTGAAAGACTATCATTTTCTCCATACAATATCATCCAGGGAAAGCGAATGTGGTGGCAGATGCAGTCAGTCGTTGACCCTTTGCAAGAATTTTTGCATTATTCGTTACTGAGTGGGATGCATTGAAGACAGTTGATGAGTTGTCTAATATTTGTATGGCATGCATGGTAGATACACCTTCTATCATCCACAAGGTATTAGAAGCACAACTAACGCATCAACAGTGCATTGATAAAGTTGCAGAGTTAACTTCTGGAGATGTCCCATTCTATTATGTTGGGACTGATGGAGGCTTGAGGTACAAATGACATTTAATAGCACCTTCTGCTGATGGTTTGAGGAAGGATGTGATGATTGAGACTCACAGATCTAAATTTTCTATCCATCCAGGTGGAGATAAGATGTATCAGGATATGAAGCGGTAGTTTTGGTAGACAGGTACGAAGAAGGACATTGCTATCTTTGTCTCGAAGTGTAGTACTTGCCAAATGGTTAAGATTGATCATTGAATACCGCCAGGTTCTTTACAACCACTACCTATACCAGAGTGAAAATGAGAGAGCATTTCTATTAATTTTGTGGAGGGATTGCCTAATTCGTTTAAGGATTACATTCCATTTGGGTCATCGTTGATAGTTGACCAAATCAGCTCATTTCTTGCATATTCGCATTGATTACACTTCGGAATAATTGGCGAGACTATACATTACAACGATTGTGAAGTTACATTCTATACCGTCATCTATTATATCAAATAGGGATTCGAGATTTATGTCAGGATTTTAGAAGAGTTTTCATGTGATGGCCTGAATTTTACAAACCCAGTGCATCATGAGATGACCCGAAATGAATCCAAAATGCAAAAGCAAAACAAAAACAAGTCTCTAAAGATGTATGTTGTCCCTAAGACATAAGAGTGGCCTTCTGAGGAGTCCCGTGACTCAACGGAAGTAAGACCGAAGTTAGGGTTTCAAAACCCTTCAAGGAATAGACCAAGGGTAAAATGGTCATTCCAAACTGAAATGGGTGCCACCGTGCACACCATTGGATAGACAACAAAAAATAAACAAGAATCGACTCAAGAATCACTTGATTCTGAGTTCGGATGAAGAAGATATGACAGAAACAAAATGCCAAGCCAAGGTTGCCAAGATGGCACCTGCTGCGCACATTACGGGCGGCCGTCAAGGCTGCGGGTGTGATACCCCCTAATTTCGGAACATGGGCTGATCAAGTCTGCGCACAAAATCAGGGGATATCAGCTAATCAATAATAAACAAGCACATAATAAAAGAGGAAAAATAAATAAAGAAATAAATAACGCTGAAAGGGAAATCTAAATTAATAATTAAATAACCAATCATCTGATACAATAATCTCCAATAAATTCCCATACTAAAATAAATCTCCAGAGAACAACTCGGGAATCCATACCATGTGGATCCTTTATAAAAATCCCAAATTGTTAAATAAATAGTGCATGTCTAATTCATAAATAAATAAAACATAATGTAGAGTCCTACGATGATGTCACCGGAAGAGTGAAGAAGACCGGCCTCTGCTCTGCATGAACTGACTCTATGTGTGGAACTGACGAGGACCTGAAAAATAACAACAAAGGTGGGTCAAAACCTATGAACAAGCCCTTTTTTTACTACATCCCAAACAGAGACCCGATAAACGATACATCCTAGTCTGACTCATGCAATAACTATGTAGGTTAATATACATAAGTATACACACTATAGATTCTCATTGGATCATAAGACAGCCTCAACCAGATAATAGGTCTCATGCAAGCGCACACAAGGCGGTCATGAGTACCTCTTCTACCAGGGCACACACATCCCTATATCCAGCTACCCATCTTACTTGACAATATACGCCAATCCTAACCATCGATCCCGAGATCTCAAGCTTGTATCATGGTACCCAATTAAAATATATTTATGTAAGTAACTTTACCCATATCCTGACAATGACACAATTTAAGGTCATAACCATATCCTGACAATGGTATGGCAAAACATATAGGTCTAGACTTAATAGCTAGCCCATATATGTATGGGCAAGCCATATCCTAATAATGGTGCTGCTAAGACCATTTCCTGACAATGGTCTTCCATCATACACTTCTATACAAGTATGTATACTTAAAATTAATATACATTATTATTAGAATTTTATCTGAGTATTTTAAATGGCGACATAGACTTCTATACTTATCATGCAATTAACTTAATACAAGTAACATTATTTATATTAACTCTTGCATGACTAAATATTATATTACCATCAAAATATATCAAAATAAAATTACAAGCTATTAAAAGTCTCATACTAATAACTTAAAATGCAACCAAAACCATTTATCCTTTCCTGAAGGATTAATATAGTATTATTCTCAACAATCATTTTTCAAGACAAGATAATCCTTTTAGTAGACATTAAAATTAATAACTTGCAATCAAAAACAATTCCATTATATTAATTCAATAACATTACAGTAGTTACTTACAAGAAAGAACAAATAGTCAATGTGTAATTGACTCCACATTAAGCAACACCTAATATATGTAGATTATAACCAAACGAATTCAAAGCACTCACAGGAATTCCCATTACTGAAACTGGGTCAGTATATATAATGGACCCTTTTGAGGCAATTAATTAGATGACTAATATATATTATAAAGACATTGAACGACATTTTGCAATACTATACATTCTTCAGCTTAATTCAGCCTCTAGAACTTTGGAGCAAAAAGGCTCTTTGAGCATGGAAGTTCTGTCTCAGTTAGGTATGCTTCATATTTATTTGGTTCACATTGAATAAAAAGAAAGAGTATATATTTATCTATATAACACATTCCTAGCTACTAGATCGGCGAATCGTTAAGCCCAATCAAAATAAATAAAGAAACAAGAAGAAAAAAAATTAATTAATTAAAATAAAAATACCCAACAGTCCCGTTTAGGCATTAAAATCCAAAATAGCAACCATAAAACAAGGACATTCATATACACAAATTTCACACTGTTGTGACCCAATTTAAGCATGAAATTCTAAAATTTCTTTTCTGAAATTAAATCCTATAATCTTTCTAGAGATGAACCGAATACAGAGTCAAAGAGAACGAATAGAACAAGGACTTGCCTTAGAGTTTCTGGTCGAAACTCTACACCGTTCGTCTCTGATTTCTCTTTGACGTCGACGACATTCAGGTCACCGTCGTCTGCCTTTGCGCTCCGGATAACGATCATAACAACCGGCCTCACCACTCTCTTTCTTCCTCTCTTTCTCTCTTTCTTTTCTTCTCTTTCTCGCCGCCGCACTGTCTGTTCTTATTTTCTTTTCTGCGCCCAATTACTTTTTCCTCCACACAGACCTTAAAATCACTATATATATATATATATATATATATATATATATATACAATACCTAACCTAATCCCATTCTAATTCAATTAATACCAGTCACACCTTAACATTTCCCACCAATTATTGAATAAAATAAAAAAAAAAACTAAAAATAAAAAAAATATTACTAATGACAACCAAATACACTTACTCCTATGCACGAATTACCATATGTATATATGTATATAAATAATATAGTTTACATATATATACATATATATATATATATATATATATATATCTTCCCATCCATAAAACTAACAAAAAAAAAAAAAACAATAATAATAAATAAAATAAAATACAATAACACTAATGAACAATTTACAATTAACTAAAGAATTTCTACTAAATAATTAATGTTTAAATAACAAATAAATAAATACTCCACAAACAATTTAAATAACCAAACAAAATATTTAAATAACAAACAAAATAAATCCTAAAACAAAAGCACAAGTAATTCAAGTAGCCACATAGATAAATAAAATGAAAATAAATAAATAAATAAATAAATAAAAGCTTTAAAATTTAGGTCAAATAGATAAATAAAATGAAATAAAATAAATAAATAAAAGCCTTAAAATTTAGGGATATTACATTCTTCCCTCCTAACAAAGGAATTCCGCCCTCGGAATTCACCTTTTACCTAATTTCAGCAATTTTGGAAATTTTGAACGGATGACATCTTCCCGTTCCCAAGTGGACTCGGCCTCATTATGATGGTTCCACTGAACACGCACAAGAGGAATAGTCTTATAGCGAAGTACCTGATCATGACGATCAAGAATACGACACGGTGGCTCAACATATGTTGCATCTGGACACAATCTCGCCAACATCTATATGCTGATAGTGATCTTCATCTTGCAGAAATTTCTGCAACATGGACACATGGAAGACATTATGGACCCGATGTAGATGATCTAGAAGTGCTAACCGATAAACTACGGCTCCAACTCGATCCGTAATCATAAAAGGACCAACAAAACGTGGTGACAACTTTCTTTTCTTCCCAAAGCGCATTATGCCCTTCATGGGAGACACTTTGAGCAACACCTGATCCCCTACCTGAAACTCTAAACTACGAGTACGACAATCCAGATAACTCTTCTGTTTACTCTGGGCAGTGCGTATGCGGTCACGAATAAGAGCAATCTTCTCAGAGGTATCCTTGATAAATTCAGGACCTAGAAATCTGCTCTGATACCAACCGTGATACCCCCTAATTTCGGAACACAGGTTGAACAAGTCTGCGCACAAAATCAGTGGATATCAGCCAATCAATAATAAACAAGCACAAAATACAAGAGGAAAAAAAAAATTAAAAATAACGCTGAAAGGGAAATCTAAATTAATAATTAAATAACCAATCCTCTGATACAATAATCTCCAATAAATTCCTATACTAAAAAAAATCTCCAGAGAACAACTCGGGAATCTATACCATGTGGACCCCTTATAAAAATCCCAAATTGCTAAATAAATAGTGCATGTCTAATTCATAAATAAATAACACATAATGTAGAGTCCTACGTTGATGTCATCGGAAGAGTGAAAAAGACCGGCCTCTGCTCTGCACGAACTGACTCTACGCCTGGAACTGACGAGGACCTGAAAAATAATAACAAAGGTAGGTCAAAATCCACGAACAAGCCCTTTCTACTACATCCCAAACAGAGACTCGATAAACGATACATCCTAGTCTAACTCATGCAATAATTACGTAGGTCAATATACATAAGTATAAATACTATAAACACTTACTGGATCATAAGACAGCTTCAACCAGATAGTAGGTCTCATGCAAGTGCACACAAGGTGGTCATGAGTACCTCTTTTACCAGGGCACACACATCCCTATATCCAACTACCCATCTCACCTGGCAATATACGCCAACCCTAACCATCGATCCCGAGATCTCAAGCTCGTATCATGGTACCCAATTAAAATTATTTATATAAGTAACTATAGCCATATCTTGACAATGGCACAATTTAAAGTCATAACCATATCCTGATAATGGTATGACAAAACGTATAGGTCCAGACTTAATAGCTAGCCCATATATATATCAGCAAGTCATATCCTAACAATGGTGCTGCTAAGACCATCTCCTGACAATTGGCCTCCATCATACACTTCTATACAAATATGTATACTTAAAATTAATATACATTATTATTAGAATTTTATCTGAGTATTTTAAATGGTGACATAGCCTTCTATACTTATCATGCAATTAACTTAATACAAGTAACATTATTTACATTAACTCTTGCATGACTAAATATTATATTACCATCAAAATATATCAAAATAAAATTACAAGCTATTAAAGTCTCATACTAATAACTTAAAATGCAACCAAAACCATTTATCCTTTCCTGAAGGATTAACATAGTATTATTCTCAACAATCATTTTACATGACAAGATAATCCTTTTAGTAGACATTAAAATTAATAACTTGCAATCAAAAACAATTCCATTATATTAATTCAACAACATTACAGTAGTTACTTACAAGACAGAACAAATAGTCAATATGTAATTGACTCCACCTCAAGCAACACCTAATATATGTAGATTATAACCAAACGAATTCAAAGCACTCACAGGAATTCCCATTACTGAAACTGGGTCAGTATATATAATGGACCCTTTTGAGGCAATTAATTAGATGACTAATATATGTTATAAAGACATTGAACGACATTTTGCAATACTGTACATTCTTCAGCTTAATTCAGTCTCTAGAACTTTGGAGCAAAAAGGCTCTTTGAGCATGGAAATTCTATCTCAGTTAAGTATGTTTCATATTTATTTGGTTCACATTGAATAAAAAGAATATATATTTATCTATATAAGCCCAATCAAAATAAATAAATAAACAAGAAGAAAAAAATTAATTAATTAAAACAACAATACCGAATAGTCCCGTTTAGGCATTAAAATCCAAAATAGCAACCATAAAATAAGGACATTTATATACACAAATTTCACACTATCGTGACCCAATTTAAGCATGAAATTCTAAATTTTCTTTTCTGAAATTAAATCCTATAATCCTTCTAGAGATGAACCGAATACAGAGTTAAAGAGAACGAATAGAACAAGGATTTGCCTTAGAGTTTCGGGTCAAAACTCTACATCGTTCGTCTCCGATTTCTCTTTGACGCCGACGGCTTTCAGGTCGCCGTCGTCTGCCTTTGTGCTCCGGATAACGCTCACAACAACCAGCCTCACCACTCTCCTCCTTCCTCTCTCTCTCTCTCTTTCTTCCTCTCTTTCTTTTCTTCTCTTTCTCGCCGCCGCACTGTCTATTCTTATTTTCTTTTCTGCGCCCAATTACTTTTTCCTCCACACAGACCTTAAAATCACTATATATATCTATATATATATATATACACACACAATACCTAACCTAATCCCATTCTAATTCAATTAATACCAGTCACACCTTAACATTTCCCACCAATTATTGAATAAAATAAAGAAAAACTAAAAATAAAAAAATATTACTAATGACAACCAAATACACTTACCCTTGTGCACGAATTACCATATGTATATATGTATATAAATAATATAGTTTTCATATATATATATATAATATGTTATATATATATCTACCCATCCATAACACTAACAAAAATAATAATAATAATGAATAAAATAAAATACAATAACACTAATGAACAATTTACAATTAATTAAAGAATTTCTTCCAAACAATTAATGTTTAAATAACAAATAAATAAATACTCCACAAACAATTCTAATAGCCAAACAAAATATTTAAATAACAAACAAAATAAATCCTAAAACAAAAGCACAAGTAATTCAAGTAGCCACATAGATAAATAAAATGAAATAAAATAAATAAATAAAAGCCTTAAAATTTAGGCCACATAGATAAATAAATAAAGGCCTTAAAATTTAGGGGTATTACAGCGGGGACCCGCTTTGCTGACATTGCGGGCGGACGCCAAGGCTGGCAGGCGCCCGCCAAAAACAAAAGTTGCTACCAAGGTGATGAAAATGGGGTTTGGGTGATACATAATTCACCTAAATTGCACAACCTTAAAATGTGCCTACAAGACCCCCAGAACTTGTGGAACAATCGGCACGGTTTTTAAATAAAAGTTGATGGATAGTACTAAGTACTAAAGTTTCAAAGTTTGAAAAAAAAAATGCTTATAATAGAAAAATGAAATGGAATCGGGATTTCCGAGACCAAGACGACATTTTCCAGAAAAATGCTGTAAAGAAACCCTCCATAAAATCACATTTTCACCACCGCTACCTTCCACCACTGCCACTGATGAGCACTGAAAAGTGCATATTTAAACCCCTTAAGCTTAAGTATTATTTATCTTACTATACCGTTTTAGATTGATTTCGTATTATTTTCATTTTCAGGCACTTATCCTGAAAATAAGCTAACTCAGCCAAATAAGAGCAAAAATAAAGCAATTTTGGGACGAATCAAAGAAAGGAGCCAAGTGGAAGCAAAAGGAAGAAAAAGGTGGAAATTAACATCTTCGATTGATCTCAGATCAAGGTTCGATCGATCCAACATGATCGATCTCAGCACTTCAAGATGGATCAGAGCCATGATGACATTTTCGAGATCTCAAAAGTTTGATCGATCCAACATTATTCTTCGATCGATCGAACTACCTTGTCCTTATCCAAATGATTAATCTTATCTAGTTGTACTACCCTACCAACCACTTTTTTCTTTTTCCCAAAAATATCTTCAAAATATTTCAGATTTGTATTTATCCAAAACGCGCCACCATTGAGAATCGATCCAACTTCAGTTCGATAGATCTCAGCCATGTTCGATCAATCTAAGTCCAAGGTTTGATCGATCAAACTTCCTCCAGTGCGAAAAAGTTAAATCTCTAGCTAACCAAAAGTTGTCCTTTATCCAATCATTGGGGGATATTTTGTGCACGACCCCAGCTCATTTTGTGTGCCATTTGACCTACCTATATAAGGATAAGGATTACTTTTTACATGAGAGCACCTCATATCATATCATCTCATACCTTGTAAGAACTCTTGGAGAGCAAGCTTAGAGAGGAGGATTGTAGAGACACCATTAGAGACTCTTCATCAACCAAGGAGCAAATCTCTACCATGGAGTTATCCCTTGAGGGTTGGAGAAGCACCACCATGAGTGGCTAGACATCCTCTTGGGGCTTGAGTCAGCCCCAAACATGCTTTTTACATCTTGATTTTGTGTATTATTGAGGGATTAGTGTTGTAATACATGTTTTGGCACTTATATATATATAGATCTTGTTTATTCAATGATTTATGTGGTTTAATGCTTCCAATTGATCATTTCATTCTATCCATATGTCTATGTATGCTAGAATAGATGTTCATGTGTTTGTCTCTATTTTTTGTGTTATTGATGCATGTCTATGTGTATAAATGCTATAGATCTAGAGATTGTCAAAACATTGTGCTTAAAGGAATGCTCTTATAATTTTCTAGATGGTTCATGCTCATTTCTTAATGGATTGTGCCTCTCCCTTAGTTTATTAGTTTAATTTCATGTCATTAGCTTAATTGTAGTGTAGTGGTAGCATAGTTGTTAGATGGGAGGACAATTCATGCTTGTTGTTTTATGTTCCACGCTTTTGAATGCAAGTAGCATATGTCTCTAACCTTGTGGTGTAATTGGCTTGTGAGCTTAATGAAAGGATTAATGACTTGCTAGATATATTGTGCTTTTCACATGCTATTTAGACAATATATATTTAATTGCTAGATATATTGTGCTTTTCACATGTTGATTAGACAATGTATGCTTAATTGGTCACCCTTACTAATTGAATCAACCAAACACACACACACATCAATATTGCAACACACATTTCCCTCATTAGTCACTAGTTAAGGGTGTAGAAAAGCACTGCTTGGTGGTGACCTCTAAACCCCAATAACTCTCTCTCTTACTTACTCCTTATTGCATTTAATTATTTAGTTTAATTTGCTCTCTAGTTTAATAAACCAACCAACCATTTGTTTGATCACTCGACCTACTAACCCTAATTGTTATTCCACAAGCTAGTACGACTCCAATCCCTTGGGACGATCCCTACTCACCTTAACTATATTTTTAGTGAAGGTAGTAGTGGCTTCTATAAATGTAAAACTTGGCCCTCGCCTTAATGCACACTCCTAAGCTTGTGGTGTAGGACGGCGAAAAGCACCCATCAGTTTTTGGCACCGTTGCCGGGGATTAGGCAACGTCGTATTTGTGGAATTCATTAGGAATTAGTACTCTTTTGATCGTGTCTTTACTTTATTTTTATTTTTTTTTATTACTTATTGTGTTTGTTTATCTTTGACAAGGAGCATTGAGCTAGGAGGCAAGCAAAGGAGTATTCAAGTAAAGGAGCTAAGCAAGCATGGAAAAATGCCAAAATTTTTTAAAATTGCTAAGCTAAGCTATAAATTTGGAGTTAAAGTGCTATAGGACCTTTGTGAGCTTTTTCTTACTCAATCCCTTAGTTAAATCGTCGGCCCGCGTGGAGGCTTGTTTTTAATTTCTTAGATAAATCGTGAGCCCGCGTGGAGGCAATTTTTAATTGTTCTTTGCATCATTGTTGTTAAAGCATAGGAGTATGGGTTAAGTGTTTGTAGAGGAAGTTTCATTGAATTGTTGTGAAGTTGAAGTGTTTATTCATTCATTGTGTTTATGTGTTTTTACATTGTGCATGCATGGTCGTAGATCACAAAGACCAACTCTTGTCCCTCTTGATTTGCATCTTGAATCCGTAGTTAGAAATCCTAGGGGAAGAGGAAGTTCTAGTTCTACCCGATCCATTACATCAATGGAAGGCCATAATGAAGAGCATGTAGAGAACCTTGGTCACATAAACCAACAAGGTATCCTTCATCCAAATGTATACCATGAGAACATTCAAGCACCATTAGACATGCCTAGGCCATTCATTCACCAACCACAACAACAACAAGGCCAAGTTCCATTTGGAATGCCAAGGCCAATGTATGCTCCACAACCTCCCATCATTCAAGGAAATCAAAATCAAGGTGCCCACGTTGCACCTTAAATTGCTAATCCTCCACTTGCTTTAAGAGATCACTATGTGCCTAATGAATATAATGCACCCACATGCATTCAATTGCCACCATTTAGAGCACATCACTATGAAATTAAGCCACAAACTATTCAAATGCTTCTTAACTATCATGGACTTCCAAGTGAAGAACCTTACAAGCATTTGGATGAGTTTTTAGAAGTATGTTAAACCGTAAAATATACGGACATGTCGGAAGAGGTCTTAAGACTCAAACTTTTTCCATTCACCTTAAAAGACAAGGCAAAGTATTGGTTTAACAATCTCAGGCCTTTTTCAATCACTTCTTGGGTAGAAATGCAACAAGAGTTCTTGAAAAAGTACTATCTGGTTTCTAAGACCAATGCCATGAGAACCTCAATTCGAGAATTTTCACATGGGGATGGAGAAACGTTTCATGAGGCATGGGAACGCTTCAACGAATTACTTAGGAAGTGTCCACATCATGACATGCCCAAATGGCAATTAGTTCAATATTTCTTTGAGAGTTTATCGGACAATTACAAAGACATGGTTGATGCTTCCATTGGTTGGTCATACATTGATAGGCATGAGGATGACGTGTGCTGTCTTTATGAGAGCATGAGTGAAAATTCTTTGCATAGAACATTATCATCCAAGAATGGTAGAAATTCACATGGTAGGAAGAGTGTTGGCTTACATCAAGTCGACCATTCAAATGAAATAGCCGCCGAAATGAAGTCTTTATCTCAAAGATTTGATCAATTCTTGATTAACCAAAACTTGGCGAACCAAGTATCTTCCTTCCCTAACCATTCTCATCGTGCATCAAATGAAACATGTATGACTTATTCTAGTGTTCTTCATTCTACTTCTCATTGTCCTCACGGACAAGTGCAAAATAAACCTAATGAATAAGTCAATGCAGCTTTTGTGAACCAAGGGAACAATCCTTATGGTACTCATTATAATCCAAGTTGGAGAAATCATCTGAATTTCTCTTGGAAAAACCAAGGAGGGGGCTTAAACCCTTCCCAAGGCGGTTTTCAAGGGAAGTACATTCCACCTCCACTTCAAAACCAAGGATCCCAAGGTTATAGACCTTACCAATCATAAGGGAATCAATTTTTTAACTCTCATTTTCCCAACTAATCTTATTCCCAAGGAAATACTAGAAGTCCCACCTTTGAAGAAAAAGTTTTGAATGCTTTGGGCACTCTTGAGACTAACACACAATTGCTTCATTCCCACTCTCAATCTATTGCGAAGCTAGAAACCCAAATAGGGCAAATAGCAAGCACTCTTAATGCAAGAGAGAAGGGAAAGATGCCCATGAATGCCCCATCTAAGCAATAATGTGTTGTGGAAACCCATTCCTCCTCGGAAGGCCACACCATTGAACATGTTAATGCGATGACTACCTTGCGGAGTGGTAGGATTGTGGACAATCAAGTTGAAATGTCCAATGAAGAGAGTGAACCGGTGCAACCCCAAGTTGTCACCCGGCCCATTTCACATCCTATTCCTCCTTCATTGCATATACATGATCTTGTGAATGAGAAAACTTCAAAATGTGATTTGAAGAGTGATTTTGAATATGATTTGAAGAAAGATTTGCTGAAAAATGAATTTGAAAAGGTTTTGTTGAAAAATGATTTGAAACAAAGTGATTTGAAAACTTCTTGTGTTGAAGAGATTTCAAAGAAAAATTTTGAAAAGAGTTTTGAACCCAAAGTTCCATTTTCGGATGCCTTAAAAGGATCCATTTCAAAAGATAAGCAAAAGGCAAAAACCAATGAAATCATGGAAATGTTTAGGTAAGTGAAAGTCAATCTTCCACTTTTGGATGCAATCAAGCAAATTCTGGCTTATGCCAAATTCTTGAAAGACTTGTGCACCCAAAAGAGGAAGAAGAAGAGCCAAACACCAAGAAAAGTGGTTTTGACCGAGCAAGTAAGCTCAATTTTGCAACATAACACTTTACCAAAGTTTAAGGACCCCGGTTCACCTACTACTTCTTGCATCATTGGTGATCATATCATTAATCGGGCGCTTCTTGATTTAGGAGCAAGTGTTAACTTTCTTCTGTACTCGGTTTATGTCAAATTGGGCCTAGGTGAATTGAAACCGACGTCGGTAGTTTTACAACTTACCGACCGATCCATTAAGAAGCTTAGGGGTATAATTGAGGATGTTTTGATAAAGATTGACAAATTCTTTTTCCCCGTTGATTTCGTTGTCATTGACACGGAACCGGTCCCTAATTCTAAAAGCCAAATTCTCGTTATCCTTGGCTGTCCTTTCTTGGCAACTGCTAATGCCAACATCAATTGTAGGACGGGGATAATGAAGATCTCATTTGGCCACATGAAGGTGAAGTTGAATATCTTTAATCCCACAGCCAATTCATTTGACAAATATGAAGGAGAGGTTAATGTTGTAGACAAATGTCATGATCTTCAATGTCAAGGAAGTGAGCTTTTGTGTAAGACCAAAACTTCAAAGGGATCATCTTCAACCTTGCATTCTCAAAGCCTTGTTTCAAATTCTTGCTTTGAAAGGGCATGGAAGCCCAAAGGTTGTGATTGCATTGACAAGGGATCAAAAATTTCTTTTGAGCTTAATCCAACAAGTTCTTTAAAGAACCATTTGTTTGGTGGAATTCAAAGCATCTATCACCCCAACAAGGAGGGGATGCATTACAAGATCTTTGATCTGGGCTAAAAGAGCCCAATGTCTTGCTAGAGACATTAAAGACTAGCACGACATTTCGTAGGGTGTCAAAACCCTATTCCTCCCTCATTTCTATCTTAAATTTCATTTCTTGCGAAGTCTAGATGTTGGCTTTGGGTTCATATGCATTGCTAGGAACTATGATAAGGATTGTATGAACTTTTATGTTGTGATTGAGCATTTTGCATAAGTTCGATCGATCTCAAATGAGAGTTCGATCGATCGAACTTTCACCTGCATCCAACACTTAGAAAAATTTTCTACCTGCATCCAAATCACCTCTCTATCCCATCGTTCGAACTTATTCTCAGATCGATTAGAAGACCTTAGATCGATCCAACTTTAAAGTTCGATCGATCTTAAGATTCAACACTTAGAAAATTTTGAGCCTCCATCAACCTGCATATTTCAGCTCTCTATCTCATCGATCGAAAACATTTCAAGATCGATCTGAAGTTCTTCGATCGATCCAACTTCAAAGTTCGATCGATCTGCAAGTTCCAACACTAAGCCCAATTTTTGAACCAAAAACGTGCATATTTTTGCTCTCTGTCTGATCGAACGAACATTTTGTTCAGATCAATCTCAGTTCTTCAATTCTCTATTTTGACCTTTGTTGACTCTGTTTGACTTTTTTATTTCAAAAATCCAAAAAGATTTTATTTTCTTAATTTTATTTTATTTTATTTTATTCAAAAAAAAAAAAATCCAAAAATATTTTCTATTTTTCAATTTTAATTTTTAATTTTATTTTTTAATTTTTCAAAAATTTCAAAAATTACAAAAATACTTTAAAGAGAGATCATCAAAGTTCGATCGATCTGAAATCTCAGTTCGATCGATCGAACTGATCAGGAAAAGTTTTTGAAAATAGACATTGAGGGTCTCACGATCGATTCATTAGATCGATCCAACCCTTTTTCCAAACCCTCAGTCCTTCATTCCCGTCGCCACTGTGTACCCATCTTCATCATCATCTCCAGTGAGATCCAAACTTTAATTTTCTTTCTCTCCTCTCGGATTCTCATCTCCATCTTCATCTCATTTTCTCTCGCGACTAGAGGTAAGATCCGAGCCACATCTCATGATTTCAAGCCTCCACTTGTTCAATACATGTTTTAAATGTTGAATCCATGATATTTTGTTGATGATATCCTCCATTGATGAGCTTGAAGCATGTTTGTATATATATGTATAGATGGTTATATATTTTTGAATTTTGAATTGATTTTTGGGAGTATGGGCAATGCTAAGTGAGTAGGATTGATTGAATTGTTGTGTTGATGGGCCCATGACCTTATTCGTGTGGCCCCCATGCTTCCAAAGTCACAGATCCGTGACCTTTCAGTTCTCACCTTCACACAGTTCGATCGATCTCTCAAGATCGATCTGAGATATAAGTTCGATCGATCTCTCAAGATCGATATGAGATATAAGTTCGATCGATCGAAGTTTTGAGATCAATCTCAAACCTTTTTGTGATCGATCGAACTTCACAGATCTCATACACACACTTCATTTATCATGTATTATGTTCATGCTATCTCATATATGCCCAATGCCTGTGATATTCCACATTGGATGCATTTCATACTTATATTGTTTAGCATGTTTCATATCCTGTCACTTGCATAGATTCATGTCATATATGTTTTAGCTATCTTATTTGACATGTATGTTTCTATTTTGTGCTTTTAAATTCCTTATTCTGGCACTGACTCCTCTTACAAGTTTTTAAATTATTTTTCAGGCTATGACTAAGCGCAAGACTATTGCCAAGAGGCAACACGGGCCTCAGAGACATATCAGACCGAGGATAGAAGAGCCAGCAGAGCCCTCTCATGCACAGGAGGAGCCATTACAGCTTACTCCACCTCAGTCACCTACTCATGAGGCTGAGGATGATCATATTCCATCCACTTTTGCGGCTCAGCCTGCGTTTACACCATCACCATCTCCATCACATGCTGGAGCTGAGCATTCACCATTACCATCTCCACCACACTAGCCAGCTCTACCAGCTCGAGAACATGATAGGCCCACGCCTATATATGCACATATGGCAGTGGACCATGAATCGGTGTTTGACACAGATTTCTTCTCCAGATCGGTGCTGACCCGATCAGCTTACCATGACATTATCCAGAGGGGCCTTGCAGCTATTCTTGCCCCAGTTGCAGAGCCAGTCTACCCGTGACTGGTACAGATGCTCTTCCAGAACCTTCGACCGTCCCCGCGTACCACGGCAGAGCTGGTCACTACTATAGATGGCCATTAGATAACTATTACTGTGGACTCGTTAGCTCGCTCATGCCATTGTCCACACAGATGCCCTCCGGAGATACATGAGCTATATTCGAGGCTATACAGGCCTTCTTATGCCGACATGGCAGTATTTCTTACAGGTCACCATGCCAATGGCGAGACTTTCGCCACCCGCACCTTTCTTCTAGACGACCTATGGTTCTTTGATTCCGTTCTCTTTCGGAACATATACATGGCTGGGCACAAGATTTAGCGGCAAAGAGACTATTTGACAGCCCTCTACACATTTTATACAGGCCACTGGGTATCTATCCCCGTGCTCATCTGGAGCATGATGAGGAAGTTCTTTGACGAGTATATCAGCAAGGAGAAGCCCGGAAGGGCTAAGTCTCTCCCTTTTGGCCACCTCATCACCCAGATATTGATCGACCAGAGCTACCCTTTCCATCCTCGGGAGCACCCTGAGAGAGGTTCCTGTCACTTTTTGAAGAAGAACTGGGACAAGAGCTACAATGCTATCATTACTAGACTACAGGACCAAGCAGTAGTGGCTGCAGAGGAGCTCGAGGCTGAGGAGGCAGAGGCAGCAGCAGCAGACCCCACAGTGGACGATATACCAGTAGGTCCAGCTGCCCAGCACATAGACATTGATTTAGAGCGACTTGCAGATAACGCAGAGCAGCACTCTCTAGCCAGGTCGCCAGTACACGAGGAGGAGCAGACTTAGGATCTTTCTTCTGATTCATCCATACCTGAGGCTCCTAGTCAGACCCCTGGCTTTGGAAAGTGTCTTCAGGCTCTTGAGGATGCAGTAGTTGCTATCAGAGCTGATACTGCTGCCATTTGAGCCGATGCTCTAGCCCACCGAGTTGATTTCTCTACATTCCGCACGGATGTCATGACTGCACTTCGAGACTTATCTAGCGATATCTGAGGAACTCGCCCTGCCCGTCCTGCCTCCTCTACTTGAGACTTCCAGTTCTTCTATCTTTTTATACTACACCTCTGTGCTCTATACTTCATTGTTGTCACTGTATATTATTTGCAGCCGGTCTGTTGGCTTTGATCTTTTGATGTATCCAGTACTTTATTTTCTTTATATATGCTTTTGTTATGGATGTCATGTGTTATATTCTTATATCTGTCTGTTTGACTCCATCAGGTGCATCACAGTGACTACAGTGAGAGAGAATGCTACACAATTTTCAGGACCACCCTTCTACCTCTCTCACAGTTTTATTTCATTTACACTTGCATGACCACTGTGCACTGATTATCCCTTTTTGTTATCTGATGAATTTATCCGAGTGCCAAATTTTAGGACCACAGTTAATTCCAAGTTTGGGGGGGCCATGCCACCCAATTTGGATACTTCAGTCCCGATCATTCTATGCCTTAATTGCACCGGTATACTTTTTCCTTTTGTTCTCTTTGCACATTGAGGACATTGTGCTATTTAAGTTTGGAGGTAACGGTGTACTTTACAGTGTTAGCTTTAAACTTCAAAATTTTGAGCATGACTTGTGTAGTTGAGAGATTTTCTATGATTGGTCCATATCTAGCTATGATTTTGATCTTTTGAGGACTATATTGCTTAAAATTTAAAAATTGCTTGACTTGAGAGTTCAATACTCCTTGTATGCCTTATGGATGCCATTTAGGAGTAAATTTTTCGAAAAATTGATATCTTGCTTGCACTTGTGGTCCACATCATCTTGATTTTGTGATTATTTTGAGATTCACTTTAGAATTCTACACTAGCACAGGCGCGCACTAGCATTCACTTGTGGGGTACATGCTTTGTTGATTATTGAATTGATTATATCCCAATTGGACTAGTAGTGCATTGAAAGCTTTCATTCTTGATAAAGGTGGATAACAACCCCTTTTCACTAAGTAGCCGGGATTCTAGCCTCATCAAGCATTGAACTTCTCGCGCTGAAAGGTAGAGGGCCCAAACTCTAGGTTAATAAATGAATTCAAAAAAAAAAAGAAAAAAAAAAAAAGAAGAAAAAGTTACAAAAGCAATAAAAAAGTAAGGACTTCTCCCAAAAGGTGAGAAGTGGGAAATGATTAGATGGAGGTTGTTTTGATTTGTAACCTAGTTGATTTGAGCTTGTAAGTCCGTAGGGGTGTTTAAATGCCTAATATCCTAAAGCCATCTGGTTTGGGAGTCATTGACCTAACGCTCGACCTCATGAATCGCTAGAAAGCTTAATAGATCAACACATTGCACCATGCTTCCATCTTTGATCCTATAAAAAAAAAAATATAAATAAATAATATATGAGTGAAAAGAATAAGCACACCTAAAACAATAAAGCTTTAATAAAAGGTCCACTTTTGTTTTGATGATCGGTACTAGATTTGTGTGCTAGTTTGAGGGTAATGATGTGATTAATTCTTTAGTTAGCTAAGATAGCAACACATTTGATACCGGTCCACTCAAAAAGGATTCTAGAGTTGTTTTGATTTGCATGTTCATTTTCTTGATGTGTGGAGGACCATATTTGCTTGCTTGATGTTGAGACTTTGGGAGATTGCTTAGAAATGTTTGAAAAATTGCATACTTGAGGTAGTTTTCTCCCAATGCTTGTTTGCAATAATGGTGCCTCTTTTGTGACAATGAGCTTAATGTTTGTGGGTACCATTTCTAGAAACCCTCACGAGACTTCACTCGTCCACTAAGGGTAACCTAGGGGTTTAAAAGGCTTGTTGCATATGCTAAGTGCAATCGTTTTCCCTACGAAAGTGGCGTTATCAATTTATTGCTTTCTAGTTCATAGTTGTATAGTTGTTCATTTCATTTCTTTACTTTCTAGTTCATTGCTAGGGATTAACAATATTTAATTTTGGGGGTGTGATGAGTGCTGAAAAGTGCGTATTTAAACCCCTTAAGCTTAAGCATTCTAGTACTTTTATCTATTTTACTTTACTGTTTTAAATTAATTTCGTATTATTTTCATTTTCAGGCACTTATCCCGAAAATAAGCTAACTCAGCCAAATAATAGCAGAAATGAAGCAATTCTGGGATGAATCAAAGAAAGGAGCCAAGTGGAAGCAAAAGGAAGAAAATTGTGGAAATCAACATCTTCGATCGATCTTAGATCAAGGTTCGATCGATCCAACATTATCGATCTCAGCACTTCAAGATGGATCAGAGCCATGATGACATTTTCGAGATCTCAAAAGTTCGATCGATCCAACATCATTCTTCGATCGATCAAACTGCCTTGTCCTTATCTAAATGATTGATCTTATCTAGTTGTACGACCCTACCAACCACTTTTGTCCTTTTCCCAAAAATATCTTCAAAATATCTCAGATTTGTCTTTATCCAAAAAGCGCCACCGTTGAGGATCGATCCAACTTCAGTTTGATAGATCTCAGCCATGTTCGATCGATCTAAGTCCAAGGTTCGATCGATCGAACTTCCTCTAGTGCGAAAAAGTTAAATCTCCAGCTCACCAAAAGTTGTCATTTATCCAATCATTGGGGGATATTTTGTGCACGACCCCAGCTCATTTTGTGCGCCATTTGACCTACCTATATATGGATAAAGATTACTTTTTATATAAGAGCACCTCATATCATATCATCTCATACCTTGTAAGAACTCTTGGAGAGCAAGCTTAGAGGAGGAGGAGGCTAGAGACACCATTGGAGACTCTTCATCAACCAAGGAGCAAATCTCTACCATGGAGTTAGCCCTTGAGGGTTGGAGAAGCACCACCATGAGTGGCTAGAGTCAGCCCCAAACATGCTTTCTACATCTTGATTTTGTGTATTATTAAGGGATTAGTGTTGTTTTGGCACTTTTATATATATAGATCTTGTTTATTCAATGATTTATGTGGTTTAATGCTTCCAATTGATCATTTCATTCTATCCATATGTCTATGTATGCTAGAATACATGTTCATGTGTTTGTCTCTATTTCTTATGTTATTGATGCATGTCTATGTGTATAAATGCTATAGATCTAGAGATTGTCAAAACATTGTGCTTAAATGAATGCTCTTGTAATTTTCTAGATGGTTCATGCTCATTTCTTGATGGATTGTGACGATTAAAGCCGTTCCTACACGCCAAATTGATGTAGTGAATGTGCGGTTTAAGAAAAGCTTTTTAGGTCAAGTTTAAATTTATAAAAACCACTACCAACACTACTACTAAAGTAGCAAGAGTGTGTAGGGATCGTCCCAAGGGATTGGAGTCATACTTGATTGTGGAATCGCAATTAGGGTTAGTAGGTCAAGTGTTCAAACAAATGGTTGGTTGGTTAATTAAACTAGAGAGCAACTAAATTAAACTAAGTAATTGAATGTAACAAAGAGTAAGAAAGCGAGAGAGAAATCTTGGGGTTTAGAGGTCACAATCAAGCATGTTTTTCTACACTTCTAACTAGTGACTAATGAGGGTAATGTGTGTTGCAATATTGGTGTGTGTGTCTGTTTGGTTGATTCAATTAGCAAGGGTGACCAATTAAGCATACATTGTCTAATCAACATGTGAAAAACACAATATATCTAGCAATTAAGTATATATTGTCTAAATAGCATGTGAAAAGCACAACATATCTAGCAAGTCATTAATCTTTTCATTAAGCTCACAAGCCAAATACACCACAAGGTTAGAGACATATGCTACTTGCATTCAAAAGTATGGAACATCAAACAACTAGCATAGATTGTCCTCTCATCTAACAACTATGCTATCACTACACTACAATTAAGCTAATGACATGAAATTAAACTAATTAAGCTAAGGGAGAGGCATAATCCATCAAGAAATGAGCATAGACCATCTAGAAAATCATAAGAGCATTCTTTTAAGCACAATGTTTTGACAATCTCTAAATCTATAGCATTAATACACATAGACATGCATCAATAACTTAAGAAATAGAGGCAAACCATGAACATCTATTCTAGCATACATAGACATATGGATAGAATGAAATGATCAATTAGAAGCGTTAAACCACATAAATCATTGAATAAATAATATCTATATATATTAAAGTGTCAAAACATCAATTACAACACTAATCCCTCAATAATACACAAGATTAAGATATAGAAAGCATGCTTGGGGCTAACTCTAGCCCCAAGAGGATGTCTAGCCACTCATGGTGATGTTGCTCCAACCCTTAAGGGCTAACTCCATGGTTGAAATCTGCTCCTTGTTGATGAAGAACTCCAATGGTGTCTCTAGCCTCCTCTTCCTCTATGTTTCCTCTCTAAGAGATGATATGAAAATGATATTGGCTTTTTTGTGTAAAAAGCAATCCTTATCCTTATATAGGTAGGTTAAAATGACACCCAAAATGAGCTGGGGTCATGTACACAATATTCCCTAATGATTGGATAAAGGACAGCTTTCAATGAGATGGAAATTTAACTTTTTCGCACTGGAGGAAGTTCGATCGATCAAACCTTGGACTTGGATCGATCGAACTGGCTGAGATCCATCGAACTTAGGCTGGATCGATCCAACTGGTTGAGCTTTTTGGGAAAAGACAAATCCAAGATATTTTGGGAGATATTTATGGGAAAAGGACAAAAGTGGTTAGTGGGTGGTACAGCTGTGGATAGGATCAATCATTTGAATAAGGGCAAAAGTGTTCAATCGATCGAAGGGTGGTGTTGGATCGATCGAACTTTTGGACTTTATCTTTTGGGCCAAGGCTTGGATCTATCTTGAAGTGCTGAGATCGATCATTGTTCGATCGATCGAACCTTG